GAATTTGATATTTTCGAGGATTGCATTGTAGGCATGGATTCACTATTAATTTAATGAACTTTAATTGCTATTTTTCCTTGGTGAGGCTGAGATTAGAATGGGGTAATGTCTAGTGAGAATCCGAAAGGTGAAAAATTAATATAGCTAGATATCTTACCTTGCGAAAAAGAAAATGAGAGCCCCGGTCAAAAAGCGTAAGTGTTCGCACAATAAGATGAGATCTTGGGTATCTTTCGAAAGAAATGGCGTTCGCGTGCCAACATGACAAGGAAAACTAAACTTAATTAATTGAACTTGGAGGCTATTGCAAAACTAGCATTAGTCCTTCGCGTACTTCAAGTATACGTCAAAGCACCAATGTGCCGCGGCGGTTTAGCTTAGTTGTACATCATGTCTACTATTTGAATAGGTTTAGATGATTGTTCCTAAATTGTGGCCTACTGAGTTCCTTGATCCTAAGAATAGCCCTGAAGTTTCTGAATGCATTGAGTCTTTGTTAGAATATTCCAATCTCTCAAAAGAAAGGGGCTGCTTATCACCATTCACCATTACCTTCACAAGTCCTTCTGATCAATAGCTAGTTTATTTGTGTATGTTGTCATTACTTTAAGGATGTTGTAAATAACTTTGTCAAATATTTTCGCTAGAGTACAAAGATGTAGTTTAGGGAAGAATTTTCTTGGTTTAGTTTGTCTGTTCTGTGAATACCCCTTTAACTACATATGCATGCTAATTGTTTTAATTCCGTGTGGTGATTATCGTAAGCCCCATTGTTCAGTTTGCTTGAGGACAAGCAAAAGCTTAAGTGTGGGGGAATCTGATAAGTCCGTATTTAGACATGCATTTGATGCGTGTTGGGATCGGGTTTGATGGTTTTCCGTATCTTTAAGGTGTTACAAGTCTCAATTTTAGCTCAAGTTATGTTTACCGGGCGTTGGTTCGAGTTTTGTGTCATTAGGAGTCAAAATCAGGATTTTAGAGTTCGGCACTGGCGCTTGAGGAGAAATCGGGATGAGTTGAAAAGCATTTGAGATTGATTTGAGAGCTATGGAGGTCAGCGGGAGGTTTACGATGAAGATTTGATGACAAAAGAGCTCTAGGATTGGCTTCGGGATCAAAAGAAGATGAATGAAGCTTGAAAACGACGATCAGGATGACCTTCTGTCAATCATTAAAGAATATCTCTTTGTAGAAAAAACTAATGGACATGATTCAAGTTGTATATGAAAGACAACTTCAAGGGCTACACATCATATGAAGACACCATTACGAGAATAGGAGAGAAAGAAGGTGAAAACAGATGACGAAGTCAAATGATCTCTGCTGCGATTTCAGAATGACACCTTCCACCGTTTTGATCATATCTCTTGATTGGATGATTCAAATCACATTCGGCAAGTTGGGGTAGATAGAGAACTTCATTATCTAAAACTTTAATGAAGGAAGTTTTGTCAAATTCGGACTAGAGAAAAGGCTTAAGAATACGGACGCACGACCGTGCGTTTGGGACGCACGATCGTGCGTAAGAGCCAAAACCGTGGAGGAGCTACTGCCTGCTACGCACGATCGTGCGTAGCCAGGGACGCACGATCGTGCGTAGCCCCGAGTTACGCGCGGAAATCTCCCACATCGACCAGAATTGTGATTTTCCCCTCTTTTCTATAAATAAGACCTCTCTAACCCTTTTTAGTGGTGACGAACATTACGGAGAGGCCTAGGGACGAATTTAACACCGTTTTTACGCTATTTTCTTCCAAGACCCTGGGATTATTTGTAAGTTCATCTTTTTAATTAATGACAATTTATTCTATTCTTCTCAATTCTGTTGATTCTTCAATTATGAATTGTGAGTAGTTTAATTAGGGATTTGGGATTGATGAAGGGGTTAATCATGATTGATGGCTAGATTCTTTTCGATTTAATTGCATGAATGCCGTTTAATTTGTGTTTGAATAATTTAACTGATATCTTTTGTAACCTGGAACCGCGGCTAGAATTACAATTGCACATAGAATCAATTAAGAGAGATCTAGTTTATTCTAGGACACATTCACACACACTTAATCGTTGGCTAAGAGATTAGTAGCGATTAAGGGGCCGTAAGCTCGTTCATTTTGACAATAATTTAGAATCATGTCGCATGAGAGATCTGTCTGGTCCCCTAAATTATTGTACTCTACGCCGCGAGAGCGGTAAGAACTTAGTATTGATTAGCTAGGCTCAATTAAATTAATTTCATGTAATTAGGTCTGATCTGCCAGAAATCTGATTACCCCGGAATCAATCCCTGCTCCCTTCATCGTTAATTAGAGAGAACCCAATTTTTTATTTTAATCGTTCATTCGCATTAATTTAATTTTAATTCAACCAACCAATCTCGCACGACACATTTATTTTATTTTTTTCCTTTTTAATCGTTGAATTTAATTAATCCTTGATTCTCTTTTGTCCGTCCCTATGGAGACGATACTCGTACTTCCACCGCTATTCTACAATCTTTTAAAGTGCGAGAAAACTCACATCAGTATTATACACCCTTAAATACTGAGGACCAGTCGCCATAATATACATAGAGCCGTGTTCCGTTTTCCAGCTTATCGGCTTTATCGGCTAACTTTTTCACCAGACACGTAACTTTTGATTTCGTCCACTGGAATGTGTAATAATCAATGTTTGTAAGGTTGAAGTTACTTTTCTTACTGAATTGGATGACACTACTGTTGAGGACCATTTGGCTATTTTTTCATACTTCGTATAATATTTTCTTTATTTTATTAGTAAATACTTCGTATATTTGAAATACAATTTTTTCATAAATTAGCATAATTAGCCAATTCAGCCACTTCGATCAGAATTTCATAACTTTCAGCAGAATCAGCCGATTTAGCCAATTCCAGATTTACTAAACAGCCTAATAGCATTTTACATTAAACAACCCAAGCACATATTACTACATACTACTCCTTCCGTCCCTTAATAATTTGCAACTCTCCTTTTTTGGATGTCCCACTAACTTTGCCACTTTCCCTTTTAAATAAAGAATTTATGGTTCCAGTTGATTATCTCTTCTCTGCACAAACCTCAACCACACAGTTTTTACTTTATTAATTCTCGTGCCAGTCAAACTTGGCAAAGTTTTAATGGACGGATGGAGTATCAAATACTACTCCCATCTCGTTCTTTTTTAACTGGAACAGTTTGAATTTAACGTTTGTTGTCGGACAACTTTGATTGTAACTATATTGTCTTATTTATTAATAAAAATTATAGAAATTTAATATAGTGGGCTGCTATTCATTTTGAGTGTGTGAATTGAATAATAATATATGTAAAGTTCAAAATTTTCCAACCGTTAAAGTTATTTTGGAATATGTCCTACCGTGTGGGTAATTGTCCGAGGTTGCTTCTCCACAAGTCTTCTCCTTAGTTTTCATCTGTTTTTTTTCAGGGAGGCGGTTAGTGTCATTTCTTATCGGGCGAATGATTTGGAGCGACAGTGGGATGACGGCTGTTACCACGTTCTGCTTTACCATGGTCTGCTTCTCAATGGTTTATGCTTCTGAACGTGCTGATATGGATTGAACTTGGAGGTCTGTGATTGATACTTGCGAATGTAAAATCGTCTGGTCACTTCCGCTCGGCTTGATCGTTAGAGGGGCCGGGGTCAATTGGGACTAATAGATGCACTACAAAAAAATACGGAATTGTCAGGAATTTTTGGCAGGGATTCCCTAAAATTGGAAGAGATTTTGGCAGGGATATGCAAAATCCGTGCCAAAATGTTTTTGGCACGAGCTATTTGGCACGAAATCATCGATCAATCCGTGCTAAATCAGAGTCAATCCCGAAATATTTTGTAGTGGATGGGGTCTTGTTTGGATGGATTTCACCTCAGGGTGGAGGTGATTGGAGGTTGCTCAAGTGAGACAATTTCTGGATCGAGTCCTAAGCAAGGGAGAAAACAGAATGGCGATCCACCCCCCTCTTAATTAAACGATGCCCTGGAGCGATTGAGGTGATAGGATTTGGAAGATGATATTTCAAGAAAACTGACATGAAGGAGCTTGAAGTATTGATCAGTTATTTTACTTTTTATGCTAGTACTTTCGTGTTATGTTTATTTGTGTTGCTTTGTTTTTTGTTGATATCTTTAGTTTTAGGTTTACAATAATGATTGACAATTCTCCTAGATATTATGTCGTTAGAAAGATCCATATGGTCAGTGATTGTTGTGTCACACCCGTTTGATAGTTAGCGATTCACATTGCTTTCTAAGGGTGATCATTTCTAGGTCTAGCTGTAGAGATGATGGTACTAGTTAGTTACGGATAGTTGTTGTCAGTGTTGATCTTTTTGAGTTTGCTGTAAAATCTGAGTTATAATGATATTAATATAAATGTTTTTTCCTTTCAAACATATATATTTCTAAACTACGGTAATTGGCCAGTTTAAATTAATATTTCAGATCTTCTAATCACCCCAAAAAAGAAGATATTTATATAATACTCCATATGTCATTAATTTTATTTTTATTAATTTGAATTATCATAGTCTCACACGATAATTGGCCGCTTTAAATCAATAAAGATATGCTCCCTCTAACTCTTAAAATTTGATCAAATTTGATTAATACAGAGAACAATAAAGCAAAAATTGTGCGATTGCGATTTCTGATAAAGTTTGAACAACCAAAAAAAGAAAAGATACGAAGTTATAAGCTAATGGAAGTCTTCAATCGGTAACAACCCTGCTTCTTGTACACACTCTATACATTTCTCCAAATAGGCTAAATTTTGTCTTTGAAACTAGCCTATTCACATACGCGTATATAGAGTGTGTACAAAAAATGTATACAAAATTTTCTCTTGTCAATTTTCCTAATAATAATACCTTAATGACGTTGTAGATCGAATTTACCTTCGAAAAGTTACACGTAGCACAATAAAGTTGAGCTTTAATTCTGGCACATAAAGCATAGACCGCTGAATCCCCAATCCATTCCCCATTCCGTGAAATAAAATTCATAAGCATTGATCCAGCGGATGCCAATTACGCATGTATATTACGGTCCATCCCCTTTACGTGAAATAAGCAATAAAAAAAGGAACTTAATTCATTTAATCCGGTAATTAGTTCTCTGTAATTATGGAGTCTAAAGGGTTTCAACAAGTCAAGAAGACTCACAGTAAGTGCGTATGTAGTACTGCGCACCTGCCTTTTGTCTGCATACTCTTTGTTTTTCAAACGATTCCCTTTAATTTGCAGATAAAAGAATAAATAAAGCTGCAAAGAATTTTAAATAAAAATATACTCTGCTGGGAAGAAGCTGTGAGAAGATGGTAGTCACCTCTTCCACTACAAATGAGGTACAATCCATTCATCCTCTCTCTCAATTATTAAACCCCCAAAAAGAAAGGGAAAACATCTTTTTTTGTTTCTTAGCTTTTGGAAGTGAATATCCATCCATTTTCTTGTTTCTTTTTTTGCCCTAAAACTAGCTCCTATTTTGAATCTTTTTATTTGTTTGTTTGTTGTTAGAGTTCATTATTATTAATTGTGCAGAAGAATGGTAATCAGGTAGCTAATAATGATGGCAGCAGCTTGATGGGGTCAAGTGGTGGTGCTATTAGGGTTATGGAAAAACCACTAATAAGCGGCGGAGAGGATAAACCACAACAGCCGCTGCCGCCTCCCCCACCGCAACAACCTCTGAAATGCCCTCGTTGTGATTCCTTAAACACAAAATTCTGTTACTATAATAACTACAGTTTGTCTCAGCCAAGACACTTTTGCAAGGCATGTAAGAGGTACTGGACAAGAGGGGGTACTTTGAGGAATGTTCCTGTGGGGGGAGGGTGCAGGAAGAACAAAAGAATCCGACGGCCATCGTCATCCCCGTCAACAGCCACCGCCAATGGCCATGATCAACCGTCGCCTCCGATAATAACGTCTCTCCAACTGCAGCCTCAGATCGGTCTCTCTTCTTCTTCCTCAGCTCCAACTCACCCCATTATTAACCCTTTCATTTACGGCGGGTTTCCCGGTAATAGGCCTTTGGAGCCGCCTGGGTATGATCATCATAATATGGGATTAGGGTTTTCCTTTTCTAGTCTTTTGGGTGCTGTTGAGAATAACAATAATGCTGCCGGGTTCGCTAATCCATACCCCGTGTTCGGATCTTCTTCTTCTTCAGCCGCTTCCACTGCAGCTTTGGCTTCTTTGCTGGCTTCGAGGCTTCATTATCAAGCCGCGACGACGACTAGTAACGGTTTTCACAGCGGACCGTACATAGAGAATATTGGTGGTGAAGAGAGGGTAAAAGAAGTGAAAATGGAAGTGATGAACAATTGGGAAAATCACAAAAATGTCCGTGGAACTGGCGGTGGTAGTGATACTGGTAGTGTTTCTAATACTCATTATCAAATGGTCAATCAGACAAGACAGATAAACACTTCCGATAACAACCATCACAACAACAACAACAATCCCGCGTCCCTATCCTGGACTTGGTTTGATCCTTCAAACATGGGTTCTTCGGTCCCTTCTATTCTCTAATGATATCATCCTGAACTCATCTCCATCTTTCATCTTATTTCTGATCTTGGCTCCCTCTCTCTCATTCTTGTTTTTTCTTTTTGTGGTTATCCATCGATCTTTGATTCCGATCGAGTTTTCGAGCCTAGGAAGCTACAAAAGGAGAATCCATACAAAGGCTCATATGGGTTCATACATATTCATCATATAAATAGAGATGGGAGGAGATTGGATCTGAGTGATCATGTCAGCTGCAAGCTAAGAGATGGAGAGATAATTCACTATCATACATCACCCTAGCAAGAGTGTTAATTTTTTCTAACACAGTTAGGTTGAAGAAATAATTAGTGTTACGACGTTGGAATGGTCATTTGAGTTAGATTACATATATGTTGCGCTGAGAGGAACCTCAGATCCTTTTGTTCTTCTTCATACATACCAACATGCATCATCATCATCATTGGATCATCCAGGATTGATGAATTGAGCACAAAATCTGGCCTGGACAGTTCAAGTGAGTCATCAGTTCAAATATTCATATATATACGTGTTTTCCTATATGTATGTATCTATAACATTTCCATCTTTAGGTTCTGCATTAACTTTTGTTATCATTATCCGTTTTTGGTTTTCCTGTTTTTAAGATTCTTGTTTTAGTTTAGAGAAAGGGGTAATTAGTATACGGTATAGCAGAGATCAATGGAAGGGAGAGGGTATACACTCATTACCATTGTTAATTGCAAATGGTACGATATTATTATTATTATTATTAATTAATTAAAGATTACTCTATTGATTATACGGAGGGTATATTTACATTCTTGCTCTTTTTTCTTTTCATTTATGTCATGATATGTTCTACATTTCTACTCCATATAAAAAGATTTCAGATCTTTCCGGCCCTTGTGTTCTTTAATTCTTTATACGGATTTTTTTTAAAAGTAGTTGTCCTGAGTAATTAAACAATAATATTTTCTACCCATAACATCCATATAGTCTAATTAAACAATAATATAGCCTAATTTCCTTGGATAACTGGGTTAATGGGGCAGCGGGCGGAGCCAGGACACTGGGCCAGACTGGACCGATACAAAGAAAATTTTTGGAAAATATTTTGCCCGAAAAATTTTACACTAAAAATTAAGACATTTTTTAAATTCGGGCTTGACCAGGACCAAGGTTGGCCCTCCCCTGTCTCCGCCCCTGAGCCCGGCGGTGATGGAGGCGGATGCGGCGATTAGCAGACTGGCGGCGGCAAAAATCTGGAAGTGTTTTTAGCACCGCAAGATCTTTAGAGGTCGGCAGCAGAAATTTGGCATGTGGATGACGACGGCAGAGGTCCGGCTGCCAGTGGCGGCAGCACTGTGGCCGTGAGTAATGGGTAGTGGCAAGGCTAATACTTGTAGAAGTATTCTTGTCCAATCACAATAAAACTCGTATTTTGGGAATTTTAAACATGTGTTTCTATTTTGGGGTAATTTGAGTTTGCACCCCATATTATTGTTTAAATTAGATTTTGCATCCCGTTTTTAAAAAACTTTGTTTTTGCACCCAAACCTCATAAGAAATAACAAAAATGTTCCTCCATTAACAATTCTGTTGACCTTCAACATATTTCTGATTGAGGTCATTTTTGTCTTTTTATATGGAGTTGAGGTGCAAGAACAAAGTTTTTTAAAAACATAGTGCAAAGTCCTATTTAGACAATAATATAGGGTGCAAACTCAAATTACCCCTTCTATTTTTTCCATTTTATCACGTTTTTACTCATGTATTGAAAATTATCTTTTTTGTATGCTCATTTAAAATAATTATCCAAAATCATTTTACTTTAACTAATTTCATAAATTTTGTGCAAATAAAATTAGACATTAGTAGAGGGATAGTGGGAGTACGTTCTTCCCATAAAAAAGTATCTTCATTTTCGGCAATGTAGCTAATTTTTCATTTGATTACACGTAGTATGTTCTTTTAAGGGAAAAAATCAAGTTTTGGTCTCATGACTATTATACCACTTCCACATTTAGTCTCTTACTTTCAGATTTCCACATTTAGTCCGTGATCATTATTCCCTCACCACCCCTCGTCCTTTCGGCCAAAATTCCGGCAAATTTAGTCCACTTCTCAGCCATAGAATCAGTCTTTACATTAAATTTTGTACCAGGTTGGGTTTTTCATACCAGTCTTTGCATTAAATTTGGTTTTTCATACCTAAAATTTGCATTAAATTTGCCGGAATTTTGGCCGGAAGGACGAGGGGTGGTGAGGGGATAATGGTCACGGACTAAATGTGGACAATCTGAAAGTGAAGGACTAAGGGGGTGTTTGGATCCGATTCTTAAAACTGCTTCTGCTCCTTCAGGGAGTAGAAGCAGAAGTTGGAGTGTTTGGATGAAAATGCGGAAGTGATTCTGGTGCTCTAATTTACTCCTAGAATCAGTTTTTTTAGAAGCTGAGGGGTACCAGCTTCTGAAAACTGATTCTGATTCTGCTTCTGCTTTAAAAAAGAAGCAGAAGCAGAATCAGTTCCAAACACCCCCTAAATGTGGAAGTGGTATAATAGTCATGAGACCAAAAGTGGATTTTTTTCATTTTTTAAGTGTTGTCTTGTCCAATCTAATAAGAATATTTTTTAAAAGCAGTAGGAAAATATATAGGATTTTTTCTTTAAATATTAGGGAAAATTCCACAAAGTAAAGAAAATTTCAAAAATATGAGTAAAAATGTTTTGAAATTTTAAAATACATATTTATTTCCTAAATAGGAGTAACTACTACTACGTATTAAGTTTAGAAAATGTTGTCAGCCTAGTATTACCAAAATATGACAATAATTACTCATTTATAAAAAAAACATGAATATTCTATTTAGAATACACATACGAAGTACTACCTCCGTTCCCATTTTAACTTCCAAATGGGTTTGGCACAAAATTTAAGATAGTGGATATTGTATGGTGGAGAGTTGTGCAGAGGAGAGAGAAATGTGTAAGAAATGTTGTGAACCACAAATTCTTTACCAAGAAGGGAAAGTGGAAGTTTTAATTGGAACGGACCAAAAAGGAAAATTGGAAGTTTATTTAGAAACGGAGGGAGTATATTTTATTCGACAGCCTAAACGAAATTAAAAGGTTACCAATGATATTGACTGTTTATCACGAAGTATGTCACTATTCCACTTCTTTTATAATTTTTACGGAGTATCAATAAAAAAAGTATGACATCCCATATTTGAGAACCCCCAATCCCGATCGGATGGTACGTTGGGATGCAAATTGGACTATAATCTCAATCTGACAGATAGAGAGTGAGACTTTGTCCCCGGTACTTGCAGAGGCCCTATGCATTTTTAACACAGTAACCCCTCATCGCAGTTGTCGGGATTCGAACCCGGGACCTAACCCTTGTGGCACTCCCTTGCTACCAGTTGAGCTAGGTCCACCGGGTATACGGAGTATCAATGATGTTATAATGCATGTTTATCATGTCATAACCGGTTATCATTCTGCGTGAAAAATGCATCATTGATTGAGGAAGTCCGTGAATAGTTCTTGACAAACATTAATATCTATCACAAATTTACTGTTTTTTTCGTAATGAACGGGATAATATGATGTACAAATTAAATTTCCTTTCGTTACCTTAATAATGATTTGCATTTCACTCCGGCTGTAAAGTTTTTTTTGAAAGATATATCAGGGTGTAAAGTTATAAAGTTATTAGTTATTACTACGTATTTATAAATCACAGATACATACTCCGCACAATAGTATTTAGAGATACTTTCCTGAAAATTATTTTGGATAGAGGGTAGACAGAATCGCAAGGGATAAGTCTAGTCAAACACTTTTGATGCCAAACAATTATTTTTATGCCATTCTTCAAATTTAAATACGCAGTATTAAAGGATGTACCTTGAGAAGTTGCAAACATGTACCATCTCCGTCCAAAATTGAATTGCAAATTGGACTTTTCTGTGTCAAACAGTTCCATTTTATTTGCTTAATTAGATAGAATATCAAATTTTAATTATATTCTAATTTCGAGTTTGCAAATTTGAAGAGATAGTAGTATAGTTTCTGAATATGCAAATTGTAATTATTAAAAATTGAGTTAATTATCAATAGGAAGGATTGAATTTTATTATTGGTTGACAAAAAAAGATAACTTTGCAAAACAATTTGGGACGAATGCAGTAATTTGCAAAGAATATTTATACAATGCATTTTGATATATGTTGGTCGTTGATGAAAAATTCATCTTTTATCGATCAAATGATTGGGTATGCATAGTACGCATATGTCATTCAATGTGTTATCTTGGTCCAAAATGTGGAATCTCTCACCCCAGGAACCCCACCCCGACCCGACAAGATGGTGAGAGAGTTAATCAAGGTGACTCAGTCAGCAAAACGCCGGTAGGTCTTATACACGTGTGCATCAGAGGTTCAGCCTTGTTTCAGGTCTGTAACCTCCACACGGCTGTTGCGGGTTTCGAACCTTGGTCACTTGATCCAATTTTCCCACCACTCGATCAACTGAGCTACCCGTGCGGGTTCCAATGTGTTATCTTATTTTACCTGAGAGATGCATGGAGTGCCAAATTGTGGTAGAAAGATTAGATATTCGGAAATAGGAAAAACATGTTTATGGAATTCGAAGAAATTAGGTCTGGCTAGGAAACGTACGAAACACATAAAAAATAACGCAACAATCACTCTTAAGGGAATTCTTAATTTATTTTAGATGATTTAGTTACATCTTTATGTAAATAAATAGGAAAACAGTAATAATTTAATAAGAATTTGTTAGTATAAATAGTTATTCTTTTTAAAAGTTAAACTTGACGGATTTAATTTATAGTTGCAATCACATTTATATTCTATGGATATTTTTAAAATGAAGTGGGGTAGGTTTGATTGATTAAGATACTACCTCCGTCCAGGTGGACTTTGTCAAGTGCAAAGTAGGTGAGAAATAAGAATAGTAAAAATTATGTGGTTGAGATTTGTGCACAGTAGAGAGAAATATGTAGAACCACAAATTAATTATTTTAATAGGAAAGTGATAAAGTTTTTTAGGACAATCAAAAAAATAAAGTTGACAAAGTCTCATTGAACGTGAGAGTAATATGTACAAAAACCCTATTTCTAAAATTTGAGTGCCGTTGGCCCACTTGGATAAATATAAAACCATGAACTCGCTTGTGGAGCCTTTGGATTGTAGATTCAACATTTTGAAACACAAAAAATGTACTCTATATTTGCATTAACAATTATTGGTATAAGCACTTTAATTTATTGTTCATATTCACATACAAAATATATTTTGTGTATGAAAACCATGTATTCACATACAAAATATGTTATTCACATACAAAATTTGGTATTCACATACTCCCCATGTTCCTATTATAACTTCCAACTTTCCTTTTTCGTCTGTTCTAATTAAAATTTTCACTTTCCCTTTTTGGTAAAGAAATTGTGGTTTACAACATTTCTTATACATTTCTCTCTCCTCTGCACAACTCTTCACTACATAATACTAATTATCTTAAATTGTGTGTCAAACCTATTTGGAAGTTATAATAGGAAGAGGTAGTACAAATTTTGGTATTCACATACATGTTTAAAAATGCGTACACATTAAGAGCCCGTTTGGCAGCATGAAAATCGGCTGTTCTGGCTGATGCTGCTGAAATTTATGAAAACGGAAGTGGCTGCATTGGCTGATTCTGCTGATACAAGAAAAAAATATTTTTAAAATATATTTTATTAATAAAATAAAGAAAAAATTATATGTAAAAATAGCTAAAATGATCATCTACAGTAACTTCAACCAATACAGCCAGAAAGTAACTCCAACCTTACTTTTTTGACGTATTACACAATTCAGCCCGTGAAAGCAAAATTTATGTATTTGGGAAAATGAAGGTTAGCGTACGGCCTCTAAAAGTGTGTACGAAAGTTTTCCGTGAGAGGCCCAAGAGAGTGTGCCTCTACGACACAGTGCATGGTAACACCGACCAAGCCTGCATTTAAAGCCGATCCTCATATCACATCGCATATCAGAGAATATAATCCATTCCCACTACCAAATGTCCCATTTGCCCACTATGCCGTGAATCCGTTTGATGACACTTTTTTTGCTCATCAACTTTATCAGTCAACTTTTTCATCAAACATGTAATGTTTAATTTCGTGCGTTGAATTGTGTAATAATAAGAAAAAATAAGGTTGGAGTTACTTTTCTGACTGTATTGACTGAATTACTGTAAATAATCATTTTTGACATTTTTTATATTATTTTTTCTTTATTGTATTAATAAAAAGTCATTGAAATATAATTTTTTCATAAATCAGCAGAATCATCCGATGCACCCACTTCATCCAAAACTTCATAAATTTTAGTATAATCAGCCGATTAAGCCAATTTCAGTGCTACCAAACGGGTTCAATATCTATATCAGTTGTCTTCTAATATAGCATATATTGAGTTTTAGTCCCGTAGATCCGAAATCCCAACATAACTTCGGATATTCAGGATCATAAATTCAGTATAAAAATGAATAAATATCTAAAAGTGTGTAAACTAGCTATTTTTACGTGGAAACCCGGAAAGGAAGAAAACCACGGGACTTTTTAGGCTAACGTCCAAACCCGCTCTTTCTCATTATTACCCTCCCATCACTCAATTACATAATACATGTATAGAAACCTCCATCAATGGAGTATGAATAAGCTAATCTAATCTAATCTAAAGAGGATGGGGAGGTAACATTTTCCCCAGAAGAGAAGAGGAAAGCATCCCCTCTCTAAGGAAGAGCCCTCTTCCTATTTATTATGGGGACTATCCATTTTAGGACCAATATTGTTTTTGGTCATATCATTTAGTACGTATTTGTCATAATGTATAATATTGCATTTCCTTTTATTGTTAGGCAACTTGAGTATAATACGACCCCCTAGGCTCTCGTTTGTAATCATCACTACAAATTATTATTAAAATATTGTCTCCATACTCTACTTTGTGATATGGTATCAGAGCCTCCCTACTGAGGGACAGCAGTAGCTCGTCCATGGCTGGCGGAGAAGAGGAGGCGGCTCCTGCACCAACCATTGATCACAATTTCCCGTATTACCTTGGATCGCAAGACTGGCCGGGAGATTTCATTACACTACAAGAAAATTTCAGATTTGCTACGGAATTTAACGACAAAACAAAATCTGTAGCTACTTTGCGATGGAATTCGCTACGACACAAATTCCATAGCAATTTGACTACGTAATTGATGACCGAATACATTTGGGTTGCATAACTTATCAAATTACGTGAAATTTGGCGCCAAGTGTTGGAGGGAATAATTTAATGACTAATTTAGTGATGGAATTAATTCCGTAGTGAAAGTTTGCGACCGAAGTAGCTACAGAATTAGTTTCCGTCGTGGTAAGAATTAACTTTAGTCGATCGTTTAACCGCGGTGAGATAGCTTTACTTTATTATTGCTACGGAAATTGTGATATAGTGAAGTGTATCTCTTGACACAAAAATTTAAACAAGTGCATCGAAAATCCTATTCGGTATATTAGTAAACTGTCTAAATTGTATTTTGTACTTCATACTAATTTAGTTTTAAAATGATATTCTCAATTTACTATTCACATATTATTATTAATGGAGTTCACTTAATTTCGATCTCTAATTTTATGTATCATTTTATCAATTTCTTATTTCTAGAAAACTAACGTAGTTCATAAAAATGTATTTTAATTTGTAATTATAAGGATGTATTTAATTAAACTAACACTTTTCCACAAATGTATTCAATTATAAGGATGTATTTAATTGGACTAGAAATAAACATATTAGATCAAACCCAATCAGAATTTAACAATTGTAAAATACATATTAATTAAACAGACCAATTCAGACCAGACTAGAGATGTTATTATTTGGATCAGTTTCAGTCACAGACCAGACTAGACCAGATAAACCATACCAGATTTGAACAATTATAAAATACATAGGCATCAGACATCTATCAGACCAAACCAATTTAAATCAGATCAAATCAGAATAGACCAAATCAGACTAGATCAAAAAAAATCGGTTCAATCAGAAAATTGTAGATAAACTATTTGAAAAGAATATAACGGACTATTAAAAGTATACTATTGGAAAATTTACATTATTTGAAAATAATTCTAAGTTTAAAATAACGGAAAATTATCAATATTCTTTTAACTTTTAGAAATGATTTGCCAAGTTGAAATTTAAAACTAACAGAGTAGGAAGACACATTACGGTTTAGGATAGTGGAAGCACTCCATAATTAAAAAATAGAATAAAGAAAGTAAACCGCGATGACAGGGAAGTGCTGGATTCGCCAAGAAGAATCGGTCAGGGGTATGTGCCAAGCCCGCGATGACAGGGAAGTGCTGGGATTCGCCATTAACGCCGACGGACGAACTAAATCTGGACCAGGGAAGACGGACAAATCCGGCGTCGTTTGTGGACACTATAATCTTCCTGGCCACGATATATCACGGTGCTTCTAGATCGTTGGGTACCCGGAGTGGTGGGGGGACCGACCCAGATTTGCTTCGAAAGGCGGAGGACGCGCTCGTTGGTCTGCCGTCGCACGTGGTGGCAGTGCTAGAGGACGAGGTCGCGGAAGTGTTCGGGCTCACGCAGCTGCAATCAAAGGAGGTCCTCTCTCTGGCCGATCTGATTTTAACGAAGAAAAGGGAAATCCATCGGGTCAGGTAGAAAAGGGGGGAAGACCGCATTATACCGGGTTTTACCCAGGAGCAATGGAAATCCATTTTAGCTGCGTTTGGTAAAATTAATGGGAAAATCCATTTTTGCGTACACACTTTTTACACATGTATTTTTACACAGACATGTGTAAAAAGTGCGTACGCAAAAAAGTGTGTACCCCAAGTCCAACTCAAAATTAATACACCCAGTGATCGGATTTCTGGTACGTTTGATATTTTATCTCGGATTATCGATATCGGGGCTACTAACCACGTTACGGGGATATATTTCTACATTGCATAATATCACACAAATTGGTCCATGTCCGGTAAGGCTCCCGGATGGTCAAAAAGTCAATGTTACTGAACGGGGATCAATCAATCTGATTTATACGTTGTGTTTACATAATGTGTTGTTTGTTCCTAAATTAAGTTGTAACCTTATTTATGTCTCGCCGCTTACTGAAGATCTCGATTGTTTTGTTCAATTCACACTTAATGTTAGTGCTTTACAGGACCGACATTCGAGGAGGCTGATTGAAGCGGGTGAAAGGCGGAATGGACTATTTTTTCAGGATCTTGATGGGGCCAAAATTTATGGAGTGCACAAAGAAGGATAAATTGATGTTTGGCATCGATGACTAGGACATCCATCTGAAACCGTAATGAAATGGCTTCATGGTGTGAGTGGCTATAAACATATTGTCAGACAACCATGTGAAATCTGTTTTCGAGCTAAACATACCAGGGAATCGTTTCCTATTAGTACCAGTACATCTACACATATTTTTGAGCTTATACATTGTGATTTATGGTGTCCGTACAATACTCCAGCATTCTGTGGTGTCAGACATTTTTTAACAATCATTTATGATTTTTCTAGTGTTGTTTGGGTTTACTTGCTTGTCGATAAAACATAGGTGTTTACCATGTTTATGTCCTTTTGTGCCATGGTGGATCGTCAATTCTCTCAAAAAATTAAAGTGGTGCGAAGTGACAGTGGCACTGAATTCAATTGTCTCAAAGATTTCTTTCGTGCCTCGAAAATTGTTTTTCACACGTCTTGTGTTGCTACTCCTCAGGAAAATGGGTGAGTGGAACACAAGCATGACACATACTCAATGTAGCTTGAGCGTTGAGGTTTCAAGCGCACCTTCTAATTGATTTTTGGGGTGAATGTGTTCTTATTGCAGCACACCTTATTAACTGTACCCCTTCTGCTATTCTTGAACATCGAAGCCCTTATGAAATTTTATTTCAAAAATTGCCTAATTATGATGCACTGCGGGTATTCATGAGCTGCCTATGCTTTGCGCACAATCTTCGCTCAGCTCGGGATAAATTTGCCAGTCACAATCGAAAATATCTTTTTATTGCCTACCCTAATGGCAAGAAAGGGTGGCGGGTTTATGATCTAGAAACTCGGGAATTTTTTCTCCCACGATGTCAAATTTTTTGAAGATCAGTTCCCTTTTGCCAATATGTCATCGAACACTTCTCTGGGAGAGCAATTAGATGATCCATCACCCCTGCCAGTCCTGGATACCTGTGAATACCCAACTGCTACTCATGTATCTCCTATCACCGCATTTCCCCTCTGGTGTCCGATTCCCAGGCTTCCGCAGATGACCCTCCTCCTACTGAGTCTCAGCCTTCTGCAGAGGAACGACTTTTGTCAGAAGATTTGGACTGTGGCAAACGCATCCGAGTTCCCTCAGTCAAATTGAAAGATTATGCCACTCACACGGTGGTTCACAACAACCCATTCCCCGCTCATCCTGCTTCTCTCTCCTCCTCAGGTACTCCATTTCCTATAACTCGTTATATTAACTGTGATAATTTTTCTCCCCGATATCGTCAATTTTTGGCAGCTATTTCTGTTCATAAGGAACCTACTTCCTTTATTGAGGCGGTCAAAGATGCTAGTTGGCAGACTGCAATGTGTGACGAGATAAGTGTGCTTGAACAAAATCATACTTGGATTCTCCAAACCCTTCCTCCCGGAAATGGGCTTTGGGATGTAGGTGGGTCTACAAAGTTAAATATCACTCTGACGGTTCCGTAGAACGTCTCAAAGCTCGATTGGTGATTTTTGGCAACCGCCAAGTTGTTGGACTTGATTATACATAAATGTTTGCCCCAGTAGCCAAAATGGTTACCGTTTGGGCCTTTTTGGCAGTTACAACTTCTAAAAATTGGGAGCTTCACCAGATGGATGTTCATAATGCTTTCCTGCATGGGGATTTAGATGAAGAAGTTTATATGAAGATTCCTCTCGGGTACACTACATTTGATCCCTCGCTTGTATGTCGTCTACATAAATCTCTCTATGGATTAAAACAAGCCCCCCGCTGTTGGTTTGCAAAATTAGTTGGGGCTCTTCGATCGTGGTTATGGTTTTACTCAATCATATGTTGATTATTCTTTGTTGACTCGGACCCGGGGATCCCTTCAGCTGAATGTTCTGGTATATGTTGACGACTTGATCATTTCCGGCAATGATCATGATGCCATTATAGACTTTAAAACTTATCTCAGCACTTGTTTCCATATGAAAGATTTGGGAACACTTCGCTATTTTCTTGGTATTGATCTAGCGCGAAGTCCATCTGGCTTATTTCTTACCCAAAGAAAATACACTATGGATATTCTCACTAAAACTCGTCTTTTGGGGGCAAAACCGACAGCCTTTCCTATCAATCAAAATCACTCTCTTGCCAAAATTGAGGGACCTCTACTTTCTGATCCCGAGCCTTATCGTTGCTTACTTGGATGACTCATTTATTTGGCTGTTACCCACCCCGATCTGGCATACTCTGTGCACATTCTGTCTCAATTTATGCAGTCTCCATGCCAGGCTCACTAGGATGCTGCTCTTCCTGTGGTTCGCTATCTTAAAGGCTCTCCTGGATAGGGGATCTTACTTCGGGCTGACAGTGATATATCTTTAACTAGATGGTGTGATTCTGATTGGGCTGCTTGCCCCCATCACACGACGTTCTCTATCCGGATGGTTGGTTTTTCTGGGACATTCTCCGTCTCCTGGAAGGCTAAAAAGCAATCTACTGTGTCACGATCCTCTGCTGAAGCTGAGTATCGTGTCATGGTTGCAGCCACTTGTGAACTCAAATGGTTAAAGGCCCTACTTTTGAGCCTTGGCATTCAACACCCCAAGGCTATTCCTCTCTTTTGTGACAGTCAGTCTGCCTTACACAGTGCTCGCAATCCTGTTTTTCATGAGCGCACCCAGCATATTGAAGTAGGTTATCACTTTGTCCGAGATGCTATCGAATATGGTCTTATTGCTCCTAGCTATGTCCCCATTACTGTTCAGTTTGCAGATATTTTCACAAAAGTTCTTGACAAGACTCAATTCCATTATCTCTTACGCAAGTTGGGCATTCTCGATCCTCATGCTCAACTTGAGGAGGGTATTATGTGGACTATCCATTTTAGGACCAATATTATTTTTAGTCATATCATTTATTTGTCATAATGTGTAATATTGTCTTTCCTTTTATTGTTAGGCAACTTGAGTATATTAGGACCCCTGGGCTCTCGGTTGTAATCATCACTACAAATTAATAATAAAATATGGTCTCCATACTCTACTTTGTGATACTTATCAAATTTATCAATCAGTTTTAACACACCGAATTCGACGAATAAGATAATTTCCCAATCTTTTCCATATAATTATTCCTTAATCTTATGAAAATATTCCAAAATACTACTAAAAACGTTTAAAAATTTTAAAATATGATGACTATGCTTTTATTCTCAAAAATGGAGCAACTACTGTCAAGTTTTGATTGAAAATATTGTCATGTTTAAAGACCTCAATACTACCAGAACATGACAATCAGTTTCAAATACACAAACGTTTTTATTCCTACTTAGGATAATATAAAGATTGGATTGAGTCTTTGTATTAGAATTGCATGTGTAGGTGAATGTAAGAGAATCCCATTACATAAGCACGTAATCTTAGAAGAGATCAGAAGGTCATGTTTCTCCGTATGAAAGAATTTTAATTTGAAATACCAATTTGTATATTGTCAAGAGGGCATTACCCCTTGAATATCGCTATTGATTTTTAGCAAATGTAATGTACTTTAAATAATATCGTATAATATTATTGACTTCTAATTCAATTTGTGGGGTGTATCAATGATTAAGTAGAAAGTAAAAATAAAGTACAAGTTTCACTTAGAGTTGTAAATGGCTTTATTCATGGGAGATTTCAACAAATATAAGCAAAACGTACGAATTTTCCAAAACTAAGACCGCAGATTCGCGTAAGACTCAACTACACTTGTATTGACCACAATACCCTTACCTTTAGGAAATATCAGATATTAAATAGACAATAAATAGACAATAAGTAGACAATAAATTCTGATAAAAAAATCTATTCAAATCCAAGCCCAAATTTTGTCTGTAACATGATCGATGCACAAGAACGCCGGCCAACCGGCTCTATTTTTTGCTACTCATTCGTACAAATCATCCATATTTAAATCATCAAAATACTCAATTTTAACTAAAACTACCCATTCCCGTTCGTAAAAACCTCTCACTTGGATTTTGAGAGATTCATCTTCGCAGGGTGGAGGAGATGCGGTGAAGCTCTGCTTTCTAGTTGTTGACCTATTGCGGAAGCAGTATGGGGGAGATAGGGTGGCGGTGGAAAGGAAGAAGCTAGGTCGGGAAGTTCTTAGGGTGGGGGCAAATTTGGAAAGTTAGAAATAGGTTTCCTAATCTAGAACTAAATATGTAATATGAATGGAAAAAACATGAGCATGTATTATTTTTGTAAAAGAGCTATGATTTGGTCCTACTAGGAGCAAATTTCTCCCTATGAAAGAATTTTAATTTGAAATACCAATTTGTATATTGTGAAGAGGGCATTCCCCCTTGAATATCACTATTGATTTTTAGCAAATGTAATGTACTTTAAATGATATCGTATAACATTATTGGCTTCTAATTCAATTTGTGGGGTGTATCAATGATTAAGTAGGAAGTAAAAATAAAGTACAAGTTTCACTTGAGTTGTAAATGGCTTTATTCATAAGTTTCTTAAATTAAATGTATTAGAGTTAAAAAGTTGGAAACAAAGTGTTTTACCTTTTCTGATTACACGAAATGCACTTTTTAATTAAAAGTATTACTATTAAAAATCATTATTCTTGAGTAGTAATAATTGAGAATTTAAGTTTGTATCCATGTTATGTTAAAATAAAATAATCGATGATTTTCACGTGCTATTATGGATAATGTTTTTCAAATTTTTTGATGAATATTAATACACCATTTAATCTTAATATTACTAGTATAGCCCCGTGCGATGCACGGTGTGTGAGTATTTTAAAAAAGTATATTTGAGTGTTTGTTATGAGAAATCTAACGTAATATGAGATTGTTAAATAAATTCAAAGTGTCAAATGAACATAATAGTTTGACAGTACAACGCGGGTTAATGTTGTGACAAAAATGGCATAATGTTTCTTCTATAAAAAAATTGTATGTTACAAAAGACCGGATAGTGGTCTCTTTCCGAGGTCTTTCATCTTCACCTTAAATAAGTATTTCAATATTTAAAACGATTTGTAGACCTTGAGATAACGATGAATAATTGTCCATGGTTGATAGCATTTTTAAATATTTATATTGTTGCATTTGAAATCTAAGAAGGAACTCTAACGTTGATAATTTAAAGAGATCGTTGGCATTAAAACGTTTTTATTTACATTCTTGCAAATTAGAATTTCGTCATGTCACTCATCTATTAACATTTTTCACATATCTAATCATTTAAGCCTTGATAAAAGGTGTACCATTCTTTATGGGAAAAAAGTGAATAATAATCTCCTAGTATAGGACATGTGTAATATATGGTGGATGATTTAATTTCTATAATACATGTCAATGTGAAAATAGTACTCCTTACGTAACATGGCTTTAAAAAATAAAGTTTGATAATGAGACTACATAAAACTTATAAGAACCGATCAATATTAAATTACAAACGACCAACAATAGTACTTTAATATATATGAACAAACGACTTAAAGTATGGTATCCGTGTGATGCACAGATTGTGAAATTCGGCCAAAAATAGTACACTAATATATGAACAAACGACTTTAAAACTTTATAATATGATATAACATTGTTGTAAAATCAGGTCAATCACTAACAGAAATCATGGACTACTTGCAATCAAGCTATACTATAAACAAAAGTTGAAAGATATTACATTCAAATTTAAACGGTATGAAACACTTCTTTATACACAATGTTGTTGGTTTCAGTTTCATTATTTGTTCCTCTCTCATCGTTCATAATGAGAATTTTCAACCCTTGACGACTGCTTGCTCTTGACATAGTCACGAAATTAAGTTGCCCATGACTAACACAATTTTTTAACAACAAACCAACATGTGGGAGGTGTTTACACTCTAATGTAAAAAGTGTACTAAAAAAGGTACATTTTCTTTTAAAGTTTACATTGTGATTTAAAAAAGAAAAAGATCGGTAATTTTCATAAACAAATATAAGTCATTTATTTGACGATCAATTTGATTATTTTTCACTCTAATAATCAAAATAAGTAAGATTGGAGTTACTACAATGTATTTTTTTAAAGTAGAATATACAAACAATTGGAAACACACAAATAAAATTAATATACTCCATATGTCCCATAAAGAGGTTCACACTCTAGTTATTTTTAGTAAATAAATTTTATATTTTCAAAAACAACATTAAAACCTTTACAAAATCTGCTCAAGAAAATTTAAATTTTGATATATAAAAAAATATTAAGAATGATTTAAGTTGGCCGTGTGAATAATGGTATGGAACCTTTGAATGGGACGGAGATGGTAGATTTTACATTCCTAATTTTTTACTTTTCCTAGTTTTTTATCATTTAGCAATTTTCATTGACCCTTCAAAAATAAACTGGCATAATAAGTCAAAAATAGATTAGAAAGCTAATCGTTAATTATTAAAAACAGTTTTTATAGGGAAAGTTCCCGAAATAGGACTAAAACAATTTCAAAATGCCAAAATAAGACTGTCATGTTTTTTATTTCCAACCAAGTCAATTAAGCTTAAATATTTCCTAAAAAATATTAATACACCATTTAATCTTAATATTATACGGATTTAATCTTAATATTATACGGAGTACTTATTATCTCGGCCCTCCTCTCTTTCCAATCCTGGCTCTGCCCCTCCAAATCATCCAATAGTGACCGACCATTTTTTATTTTAGTTCATGGATGATCGACACCAGATTCCGGTTTAGCAGTCTTTGTATCCTCATCTTCTTCATCTGAGATAATTAGCATTTCGTCTCGAATATCAGTCTCCTTATTGGCGTCCATATTAGCTACCACTCTCTGCTTCATCTCCGCCGCAACCTCCTCTATGGCCTGCCACGCCTCTTGAGCCGTCTCCGTCGCTCTATCTTTCGCTTCCTGCTCCGCCATCCGTATTTCTTCAGCTGCCATTTTAGACGACGGTTCCTCGCCCCTTCCTTTGATGCATTTGTCCTCCGTCATTATGTCTCCTCCCTTTAAATTAACATCACGTTTTACTTAATTATACACACCGTACGTGTTATTACACGGTTAAAGTTCTACTCTGTTTCAGTTTTAATAAAAAATTTTCTGAAAATTTTAAATATTGTTAAATTTATTAAATTAATGTACTTTTAAGAAGAAAAAATCATCAAAAAAATGAAATTCATAATTAAAAAAACAAAATTATGATGTATTTATATATGTAAACATATTTATAAGTACATTGTAAAAAAATATAGTGAAAATTTAAGTTTTAGCACCTGCTGTATAAATTCCTTAAGCCCCGATCCATTAAACCCCTACTCATCTAACATGTGGCTCGGCCACCGGCGATATCACTTATCCTACAATGACACTTTATTTTTAAGATCTTGAATGGAAAAAAAAATGGACTGAATACATATGATAATATTCGAATTAAATATTAGCTGAATATTTTAGATATGAAAAATAAAAAGTTATGTTCCGTTTTAAATAAATGGAAATATTAAACTGTCACATCCTTGAGGGTCAGTTTTGTTGGGGTGTTTCGGGGAGAGGGAAGGGGAGGCCAGGGGTCATATTTAAATTTAAAATAATTCTTCAATTACGAAAATTTGAAATAATTAAAGTCAAAACAAAATAGTATGTATATAAAAATACATGGCCAAACTAATTATATACTCCAGTTTTTTGTAATCTATAAAACAAATTGAGATATATTAATATTAATAAAGTAAAAAAATCAATAATCCCCTTCTCTGTTCCCCCAAATCTCCCAACCAAACTGGCCCCTGATAACAAACCTTCCATACTTGGCGGCGAATGGAAAAGGAAGAACTTGGAGAAGGAAGAAGAGGTTTTCCAAGATAGGAGAACAATTTACTGGTCAAAGACATTTTTGCCATATTTTGTTGCCTTCTCCTCTGAGTTTAATTTACTATCTGATCTTATCATCACATCATGCATGTATTTATATGGCATGGTTTGATAATGATATAGTTCCAAGCCGTTACCTATACTTTCATTGCATGGTCAGCACGGAGTTGCAAAAGAATGGAAGATACGTGGAGATTTGGGTTGGCACGTCATTTTCGGAAGTGTGAACACGTGTCCATCACATCTAGGCATGGTAATGGATCGGGATGAGGCGGGTACGATAAGATTCAGACTTGTCCCGTGATTTCACTAGGTGAACCAGCCCCGCCTCGTGACCGACACATGTCCAAACTTGTTATCACATGCCCCGCCTCGTACGTGACGGGTGACGGGTCCGCCCTTCCACACCCTGTCGTAACTATATAAATTAGAATGTTATACTCCCTTTATCCCGCTAGATGATAAGGTTCCCGTTGATGGTTTACGATGTTTGACTGACGCTAAAACAACTTAATCCCTGTTCAGACTCTGATTATTTTTAGTAAATAAAATTAACATATTCAGAAACTACATTAAAACCGCTACAAAGCCTGACAAAAAATGTAAATTTGATAAAAATTCGATTTGTAAGCCTGACAAATGAGTAAGAGATTAAATATGATTTAAGTTGATCATATGAATAGTGGACGGGAACCTTCTAATAGTACGGAGGTAGTATATATAAAAGACATTGATATTCGTCGTTCATGTCATTCAAATATAAATATTTATCTATTATAAGACCAAAAATTTTATGATTTATTATATACACACATACGTAGTATGTATGTAAAAGTATATTTGTAGTATAATTTAACAAAAGAGTGAATTACCTAAATAGGACAAAAAAGTGGTCAAAGTGCACAAATAGGACTAGATCTTCTTAATTCCCTCTAGTAGGACTATATATGTGTGTTTGGACAAATATACCCTTGTAACTTTTGAAATATCTTAGTTAATAATAAAATCATAAAAAAGTAATAAAAACGTACAAAAATAATAAAAACGTCAAAAAATATTGAAAAAATTATAAAATATTTATGAAATAAAAAATTTAAAAATATTTGAAAAGTTTTAAAAAAAGTAAAAAAATCCACCGCCTCTGCCACCCCAGCACCACAGCTCCCAAAACTTATTGGAAACCTGCCAATATTTTTAGTAATGCCATAATAATGACAAATTCAATAAGAATTTTGGCATTATGATGAGTAATAATGCCACTATCATGGCATTTTCACAAAAAATGACATTTTTACAAAAAATGGCAAAATTTTCAGCGATAGGAGGTGGTGGTGCTGGGAGGTGGTGGGAAAGGTATTTATATTTTTTATTTGTTTATGGGTTTTTACTATTTTTTACTAATTTGTTTTAAAAAAAATCAATAAAAATCTGCCAACATTTTTAGTAATGTGATAATAATAGCAGATTCAATGCGAATTTTGACATTATGAAGAGTAATAGTGTCATTTTCTTGGCATTTTCTAAAAAATGGATTTTTTTTAGAAAAAATGGCAATATTTTTACCAATCGAAGGTGGTGGTGCTGGGAGGCGGTGGGAATAATTTTTTATTTTAATTATTTTTTTACGATTTTTTTATTATTTTTTAAGATTTTATTATGCATTAAAACATTTCATTATGAATAAATACTCTTAGGTGTATTTATGGTATAGATCGATCTTTAGTCCTATTTGGAAGGGTTTAAAATGTAGTAGTCATATTTGTGCATTTTATGGAATTTTTAGTCATACATAGAGCAATTTCTATTAAAAAAGTATGTATATTTATTTATTTAGCGGGGCGGGACAGCACGGGTATGGGCGGGGCGGCCGGATCCACCCCATGCCATTTGCAAGACGGCCCGCTCCAAATGTCTCCGGGTAGGGCGGGTCATTGCGGGCCGGATTTTTTGACATGCCTAATCACATCGACGTATGTAACTTGCAATTTTTGTCATACTTTACCTAATGAGATTTATTTAAATAGATCAAATCAAAGATCAAATCACATTAAACTATATTAGATCAAACTTCAACAATGGTAAAACACACATAAATTAGATGTGCATCTATCCTATCACACCAGACTAGATTAAATGAGCGATTTTACTAGAATGATCTTCACCCATCAAATTATTAGGCCTCGATTGGTTGGAGGATTTTGAGATGAATGGAAGGATAATAGAGGATCAATGTTTGTTTAGTTGTAAGGAATAGAAAGGGAGGAGAGGAACATGATGACTTTAAAAAAAACCATTATCCTCCTTTTTGAGTCCTTCGAATTGGGGTATTTAATTTTAGGGGATATCAAAGACACATTGTGATTTTTAAATGTAAATGGACAAAAATGATCAGCTCTAATTCCTGTATTTATAACTCTCAAAAGAAGCTCTAATTCCTTCGACCATCCTTTGCGTCATTCAGGAGTAGCCGCAAGCCCGCAATCCTCTTTCAAACATGGATCAAATTAATCAGCTCGCAGCATAATCGACAATCGTTGTGCAGAAAGGTGATTTCGCTCATCTGTGAATTCGTTGCTTTATCGGTTTAGGTTTCAGATTCATTGCATATCAATGTTTGTGTGATTCTAGGATTTTGATTTCCTAGTCAAAAAGCTCTTAGTTACAGTAATCTTTGTTGAAATACCTAGATTGTTTGCCTCCGATTTTGATATGATTTTCATGAGGTTCTCTTCACATATTTACCCTATTCATATAATTTCCGAGCTTGAAGCATTGATTATTTTTAGTTTACTTGGAGTTTTTTCCTATCTTCTTGACGATTTCAGAAATTATGTACTGTTCTTTCGCAAATTCTCCGCCGGCTCTATCGGGTTTCGTTGAGTTTGAGTGCTGATTCGTGCCATTTCTAAGCTTTGTCAATAAATTTTGATGTTCTAATCTCACTTTTCATATGATTTATATTCAGATATGAGTATGCATATTGGTATTATGTAAGAATTACAGATAGTTCCATTATATTTGAAATCAAACATCAAACATTTTAGTGTATACATATTACACTTTGTATGATTCTGAGAAAGCTTGGTTTTGGTTAAGGATGGTGGGATTTGATGTCTCCTTAGATAGTTAAATCTTCTGCTAATTATTAATATAACTCCAAATAAGTTAATTCCTACATTAGCTATGTTACCCAGGTTTGATGTCTAATAATTGATTTTTTAAAAATCTTAGAAATGAGAATCAAACTATTGAGTTATTTATGTTCTCTCCTAGAAAGAAATCCCAGATTTTTTCTCTCAACCTCTGTCATATGTTGGGCAGTTCACCTCTTCTGCCTTTTAGTTCTCTTTATAGTTGAAGATATGTGTTCTGACTTAACACATTTGTTTCAAAATGCTATCACCCTTCAAAAATATATCTTAAATACAACATTGATATTCTAAAACTAAAGAAGCTTCTATTGATTTTCTAAATATCATCAGTTTTGTTATTTCTAAACTGAGTTTTTTCCACTTTTGATCCCCCGACTATTATGTCAATGATACTTTTGGTACTCGACTTCTAATTTCTCCATTTTTAGTCCTCGACTATTGTGCTAGAGACACTTTTAGTCCCTGACTTCATGATTTCCCACATTTAGTCCCTGAGTATTGTCAAATCGACACTTTTAGTCCTCTCATTATGATTTTGACACAATAAGTGGATGACTAAAAATGTCACTATTATAATAGTTGAAGGACCAAAAGTGTCACTTTTATGAATGTTGAAGGACTAAATATGGAAATTTTCAAAAGTGTCCATGTTGAATGATTTTATGAATGTTGAAGGACTAAATATGATACCAAAAGTGTCTCTAGCGCAATAGTCAAAGACTAAAAATGGAAAAAAACAAAGTCAAGTACCAAAAGTGTCAATGACATAATAGTCGAAGGACTAAAAGTGGAAAAAACTCTTTCTAAACTTGTTTCATAAGTTTGTCCTTTATTTAAAGCTGCTATATTTTTAGGAAAATAAACTGATGTAAACTAATTTCTAATACGTGAAAATGGTATTGGAATTAGTAAACTAGGAACAAATAAAGTCTCAATTTTTTGTAGGAGTTGGTTATTAGTTTTTGACTGAGTAAATAATGATGTGGCTAGTGCATCCATATCGTGGGGTTTAGTTGCTGAATTGTAGGAACAACACTCCTGAGTCTGCTGCAAGTTTATTTTTCAAGTACTATAAATAAAAGAAAAAAAGGGTGATGGAGCCAGTGAGCACCACACCATAAAAAAAAAGAAAAAATACTTTGCTGCCTTGTTATTTAGTATATTGTGATCATACTTGGAAGAAAGTTTGAGTGGAGGAACTGACAAGTTTGACATTAAATTTGAGAATGGCTGTTATATTACTCTTCGATAGAATTTTTAATCTGTTCTTTGAAATTTTTATATGTTATAGAAATAGTGAAGTTCAACTATGAGGGAAAACTTACTCTTTATACTTGAACCAATCCTTACTACTCGATACATACATTTCATATGTTTGTAAAAGCTTCACTTGTAAGATCATCATCATTATGCCTTTTTAACCCATTTAAAAAGTAACATTTCAATTCTTTTAAAAGGTCATTAACAAGCAGTAACATATCAAGTCTAAAAATCTTTATAGCAAGTTTATATGTGGTATCTGATAGACTGATGGATTGTTTATCTAGGTTTCCTGCCACCTCCTAGTTTGAATCGGGTGTTTTCTTATGGGAAAAGTGAACAAGGAGTGCAAAGTAACCGGATTTTTTTAGGGGTTTAGGCCCTAAACCAAATGAGATTTCTTTTCCGCTGTTCCAAATGAGGGAGGTAGGCAGTTGCTTAGATTTTAAATAAACTAATGAGCAAAACCAAAATTTCTTCTTTGGTAGCATGCTTAGTAAATTTGTTTGGGTTGGTTTAAATAATGTTCTTTAGAAAATGAAAATTTTAAAAATAGTGTGGTTGCATGTTAGTAAATCTTTCATCTCATTCTTTTTATAAAAGGAAGTTAAGATAGTGGTTATTTTGAAAAATATTTTAACTAACTATTTTGGATATTACTGTGTATTTTTATGGTATAGATGGATCACAAAACACCCGTAGGATGGTGTAACATGGTGCAAAACATGGTAGCTCACGTTCTTTGCCTTGTTGTTCAATGGCACTTCTTTCAAATGTGTTATGCTAAAAGAAAAATAACATATACCATGAGCTCAGGAAGAGAACGAAATAGAGAAGAAACAATGATGCATATTATGAGTAGTGAAGAAGGTCGCAATATAGTGAGTATGGGACCAGTAGCATTTCTTGGGTTATCTCAAATGTTAGAGAGGCAATGCTACTTAAAACCTACACGATGGGCAAATGTTGAAGAATAACTTGCAAAAACATTATATGTACTAACACATGGTGCCAAGAGTCGTGGGTGAACTTCTGGTTTCGACGTTCTGGAGAAACTATTAGTCGTCACTTTAAATAGGCTATTGCGATGTGGAGGGATTATAGACAGTATTTTAATAAATACAATGCAATGTTTACATCTTAGATGTAGTTAACTCTACTTATTTGAATCATAAGTCATTGTGACCTAAACTTTAACAATTGTTATTAGTTCTTTTTTAATAATAGATTTAAGGTTTGATGATATATATTTTTTCTAGATAACATGGCTCCAAAAAACAATGACTCTAGTGATGGAAGCTCATTAAAAATGCTAATTTGGACGCCTACTATGGATGAAACATTGGTTGATGCATTCCTGAGTCAGTATAATATAGGACTCAAGGTTAACAGCACTTTCATTACCAAGGCGTACGAAAACATTCTGGCTGAAATGAAAAGAACTTATGACATAAAAATTGAAAAGAGCCAAATAAAGAGTCGATGGAAGCTCTTGAAGAAACACTTTTCGGAGGCTTATGACATTTTCAAGAATGGTATGAGTGGGTTCACTATAGACCCAATAACACAAGCTTGGACAGCTGAACCAGAAGTTTGGGATGACCTTATCAAGGTATTGTTACAGTATACCCTCAAATGAAATTTTTAAACGATAGCTAATTTGGATCTCCTTGTTTTAATTTATTTAACTATTACTTATTCAAAAGAGAAGTTATTTTATTTTATTTTTATTTAGTTGCTTGTTTAAATGAAGTTTGTTTTCTCTGTACTAATTGCATATGAATATGTTAAATTTGGTTTATTCAATTTGGGTTAGCGTAGGTGAAGCCTCAAGCTAAGATGTTCATGCAAGCTCATTTATCTTACTATGATAAAATGGCGACTCTCTATGGAAAAGATAGAGCTAGTGGAGATCAATCAATAACTGCTTTGAAGCTTCGAAAGCGTCCTACTTGAATTGGTACAGATGACTACAATGACTCTACCATTGATTCACATGTGCGTGTTGATGATGATGTTGAGATAACGTCTAATTCAAATAGTAAATCCACCAAAAATTCCAAGAAATCAATTGCAAAAGAGAAAGACATTCCTGATGAAGGAATTAAGGAAGCAATTGAGAAGGTGGATGATGCGATCAAAACTTCTGGTGAGCTTCTAAGAAAGAAAGCTCCAATATCTCCAAGCCAGACTTACGAATTGTTGATGGAATTGGATTTCAACCGCCACACTCCGAAAAGTGTTTCTTCAAGAACTTCCATCGACTCTTTATTTGGCTCTTTTCAATTTTTATGCCATAAGTTCTTTTCATTTCAGCCAGAATGTTTTCGTACGCCTTGGTAATGAAAGTGTCGTTAACCTTGAGTCTCATATTATACTGACTCAGTAATGCATCAACCAAAGTTTCATCCATAGCAGGCGTCCAAATTAGCATTTTTGATGAGCTTCCATCACTAGAGACATTCTTTTTTGGAGCCATGTTATCTAGAAAAAATATATATCATCAAACCTCAAATCTATTATTAAAAAAGAACTAATAACAATTGTTAAAGTTTAGGTCACAATGACTTATGATTCAAATAAGTAGAGTTAACTACATCTAAGATGTAAACATTGCATTGTATTTATTAAACTATTGTCTATAATAACTCCACATCGCAATAGCCAATTTACAGTGATGACTAATAGTTTCTCCACAACGTCGAAACCAGAAGTTCACCCCACGGCTCTTGGCACCATGTGTTAGTACATATAGTGTTTTTGCAAGTTGTTCTTCAACACTTGCCCATCGTGTAGGTTTTAAGCCGCATTACCTCTCTAAGACTCTAACATTTGAGATAACCCAAACAATGCTACTGGTCCCATACTCACTATATTGCAACCTTCTTCACTACTCATAATATGCGTCATTGTTTCTTCTCTATTTCATTCTCTTCCTGAGCTCATGGTATATGTTATTTTTCTTTTAGCGTAACACATTTGAAAGAAGTGCCATTGAACAACAAGGCAAAGAACGTGAGCTACCATGTTTTGCACCATGTTACACCATCCTACGGGTGTTTTGTGATCCATCTATACCATAAAAATACACAGTAATATCCAAAATAGTCAGTTAAAATATTTTTCAAAATAACCACTTTCTTAACTTCCTTTTATAAAAAGAATGAGATGAAAGATTTACTAATATGCAACCACACTATTTTTAAAATTTTCATTTGCTAAAAAACATTACTTTAACCAACCCAAACAAATTTACTAAGCATGCTACCAAAGATGAAATTTTTGTTTTGCTCATTAGATTATTTAAAATCTAAGCAACTGCCTACCTCCCTCATTTGGAACAGGGGAAAAGAAATCTGGCCTCTTATGTTCTAGCCTTCTAGGAATGAACCAATGCAATTAAATATAAACAAATCATAAAAACAACCAGATGAATCCTAATTACACATAAACAAATAAGATATTCACAATTCAATGTGAAATAAAAATCAGAGCTTAATGGAAGAATGACCATATAGATAGAGCAGTATGTTGCCGCAAGAGAAGGTATGACCAAAATGCTCTTGCTCATAATAATTAGACCTTATTTTACTTGTGCAGTAAAATAAGAGATTCCCAACTCAATGTGAAGTAAAAATAAGTTGGCCGTATGTTGACACCAGAATCCCCTGGAAGAAATCTTATCATTATCTTCTTCCTAAAGCTCGCAAGCTGCAGAGCTAGATCTTAGAGAAACAGAAGTCGTCAGTCCGCCACTCGCATCGCCGGCCTCTTTCTCCTCCTTGGTCCTCACCGTCTTGCGGACTCAAAGGTCGATCGAGGTCTATGGCCCTCCATTGACGTCATTGTAGAGGATGTGACGCTTCTTGCAGTTGATCGTCCGATACTTTTCCTCATCCACGCCAAGTCGCCGCTTGGAATTCAGAAGAATATTTGAATTTCCTGCCAACTGCCTTAAGCTCCTGCGACATTTTGCATTGCCTGCCGATTGTATATGAAATCGACGATATCTTTAGACGTAAATACCAAGTATCTTAACTACAGTACATTTTCGCTTTTGGTATGGTTTTAGCCCGGAGAACCCAGGCCAGTTCCACCGGATGCAGATTTGGAATTGGTTGTAATGGAGTGCTTTCAATCAATTGACAGCCAAATATGTGTCGAGAAGATGTGGGTCCAAATTTAGAATAGACTCTAATGGAAAACAAAAAAGAGCGGGAACCTACACCTTTCTCGTCACCCCATGTGTAATATAGAGTGCTCCATATTATTTATTTGTTTAACTGTTGGTTAAAAGCTTCGAGCACGCAACACGGAAACAGTGCTTGTACGTTACCCGATGCATTGGATGGAACAGATGAATGAGCTCACCGCCCACCGGACCCGACCCACTTTTTGACCCGTATCTTTAGGCAGAAAAATGAGCAATTTTTTCACTCCCTAATCTTTTTTAGTCTTTTCTTCTTCAAAGCAAAATGAGGATTCTTTTTTAGTCTTTTCTTCTTCACAGCAAACCATGTGAAACAGCATAGGAAGATGTTTGAGGGTTTCAGAACTTCCTAATTTGAATTTACCATAAGAAACTGGTAAACCCTCAAATGCGCATTTCAATTCCTCTTTATCATCAGGATCCGGTTCGAACCAGCTAATTTGCAACATAAATCCAAGCAAGAAAATCTTGTTTATCACACCATAGAACCTAGGCATGGCATCCAACACATCATAAAAAGCCCATATTTGTCAAACCTTGAAACACTCTACTCTTCTGGTTTTGTTAAAATCATTCAAATCCGGGCAAGCGTACTCTATGAACAAGCCTAGCTTATTTAGAACTTACATCAGTTCTGGGCCTTTATGAAGAGTTAAATTTTTCAGAAGAATCACACTGCCTTGACCAGGTTGATTGCCCTGTGATTTGTTCCTTCTTAGATTTCATACTTGCTTTACTTTCGTTTCTGCCCTTTGCAGAAAGATCCACGGGAACAGTTCTGACTATATTGGCTGAAGTTACTGTAGATGACAATTTTTGCTATTTTCACATACGTAGTATAATTTTTTCCTTATTTTATTAATAAAACATATTTTAAATATAATTTTTTAATAAATCAGCAGAATTAGCCAATTTAACCACTTAAGCCAAAATTTCATAAATTTTAGCATAATCAGCCAGTTCAACCGATTTTGATATTACCAAAGGGACTCTAAATAATTTTCACTCACTCAAACTTCTTGAAGAGATCAAAGATGAGTTAATATTGGAAATGAATGGGTAATATTTATCCCGGGATCCGATTTCATGAAAAAGCTTTCTTTTTTAATTAGTATCAGCCGGACCCCAATTTTGTCGGACTAATCCTATATTTTCAAGAACTCACCTAAATTCTTGAGAGATGCAAATCTCGTTTGCTCAAACACTCTGTAAGTTCCCTCCATCTTCTATAGACACCCCAATAAAGAAAGCGCTCGTAAGTGATTGATTGTGCGTGCCCCCGAACCCTCAATAGGCCAATACTTCTCATTAAAAATCGTCACTGATCGATTAAACACAACAAGATTCCCACACCAAAAATCTAACTCTCACACTATCGTTTGAGACCAGACGTTCAAATCAATGATTAATGTACCACCACTCGAACTAAACCTGAGGGTTCAGGAAAATGCTCTCATATTGAACTCATAACGTTCACATGTAGAGATGATTGTAGGTGTGAGGATGTTTTTATTTAGACTGTTTTTAGTCCTACATCAGACCAGATCAGGCAGTTCAGACTAAACCAGATAAAACCAAACCAAATCAAACCAAACCAAATTTAGATAGTTATAAAATACATAGAGATAAGATGTTTACCGGATCAAACCAGATCAGACTAGACCAGATCAGATCAGACCAGATAAGAAAATTTCAATCCAAGTATAAACATCCTCAGAGAGTCCATTCCAACCACCCCGGTTTTCAATTGTGCCATCCTAAAAGATTCCTTGATTATATATATTCCTCTTGAAAAATATACTTTCTCTATCCCTTTTAAGTTAATTATCTTAGACATTTTAAGTTAATAATGTTAAATTTTAACACTGAAGTATTTATAATGTGAAAATGGTATGACATTCTTTTTTGCAAAAATACTATCATAAAAGTATAAAATTTATAAGTTTCAACTAAAGATATTAGTTGAAATGGTTGATGAAAGTTTACTACTATCTCATGCCCAAATTGTTTTGTAACTTTAGCATTTTTTGGTGAACCAATGGTAAAGTTAAATCCCCCTTATTGATAATTAAATCAATTTTAATAATTAAAATTTACATATTCAGAAATTACATTAAAATATCTTTAGATTTGAAAAATTCAAATTAAAATTTAATTAAGAATTGATATTTTTATTAAGTCAATAAAGTGAATCTGTTTAACTCAAAAAAAAAATTCGTAATTCAATTTGGGACGGAAGGAGTATTATGGATTGAAAAAGTTAAAGATGACT